AACATTGTTGCCGTTAGCTCTCAGTTCAATTTGTATATGAGTTACCTTCAATTTAAAATTGTTATATACAATAATCAACGCCGTTGACCGTTATGGCCTGGCAAATGTCATACTCACAGAAATATGCACCGATGACGCGGCCAGCCCAAAATTCACACCAAACAGTGACTTTTTTGAGATACATTGAACGCTTTTGAATCTCATGTGGATTGGTACCGTTCAAAATTCATGTTTGTTCACGTACTCATTTATCCAGAAATGAGCCTCATCATTCAGTTACCAACTGTTCCAGAGCCTATTCAGCTAACATACATCGTCGTATGGGTCGTTCCCCTTCAGTTCCTGGATCAGTTGTATTCTGTACGAGTGCCGACCCAAGTCATGACGCAAAATTCGCCAATTTGTGGTCTGCGAAAGGCCGAGTTTTTGTGAGCGACACAAAATCGACTAACTCGGACTCTCCTGCACACCCTCACAAACAGCGGCGATGTTTTCGGCAGATCTTGCGTTTTGCCGACATACGGGTGTTCGCCGATAGATTACTGAACCTGTGTACTCAAAATTATCCACCATATTGTGAATAGTCCTCTCGGTAGGACGATTATGGCGACCGTAAAATGGGCGAAGCGCGCGGTACGTTGACCCAACAAAACAACCATTTTGATAAAACGATTCCATTATTTGCACATGTTGTTGAATGCTAAATCCGTCCATGGTGATTTGGCAAAACAGACTGAATAACAACCTAATTTGATAGATGTAGCTTCAACAAAATATCTGTTATCAGTTGTCAAAGTTCGGGAGTGAAGGCCCTATATATCCTTATAACGGCTTGGTTGGAAACAATACTCAGAAAAGTGTGATAAATAGAGATAACGTGGTGTCAAATTGATTTAATATCATCTCTTAACTGAACATAGAAACTACCAAAATTCCGATACATATCCCTCAACGTTGCACTAAACCTCTCGTTTAAAAGTGGCGGGTATTGTTTCCTTTGAAATATTAACCAGTATATTTCAATGGCAATCCATTAGAACAAAGGCTATCCATTTTCAACTGAAACATGAATACTCCGATGGAATTTTAATTCTGACGTTTTCAGAGACAATGACTTCCAACCCTCTTTCTATTTCATCCACTTAATTTGTTTTGTTTGGGGATATTCCGCTCAAAGTTTTTTCAATAAGAGGGGAAGTTTTCCTAGTTGTGGCGGAAAGTTTTCTTTCGGGTCCGGCACCATCAAGACACGTTTTTAAGAGCTATATTTTAATTCTTAACGACTGGAAATATAAAATTCATTCTTATTAGTTATTCAAAAAGTTATTTTTAATGTATTTTCTGAAACAAATCGATGTCAAAAGGATCTGTTATTGGGCCTTTATTTTTTGTTATTTATATATTTATTATAGTTTTATGCTAGTTATGGGAAATGTGGAAAAATTCGAGTGAACATTTTTTGTTTTTTGATTGATACATTCTCAACTCCATTCAATGCCTTTCATCCATACGATATTATTGTTCTTATGGTGGAGTCCACAGCGTGTACATNTCCGTACCTGATGATTTACCAAAACATATTGAATTAATGACAACTAATTTGACAGATGTAGCTTGAACAAGGATGGCCGTTATCAATCATCAAAATTAGTAAGTCCCTGTTGGAAGACCTCATATGAAAGACATTGTAAAATAGTTTGATGAACCAGTCAATGACTACCGAGTAGTGAAACGAATAAAATGCATAGTGAGAAAATTTGTATAATCATTATCATGGATATTCCTTCAATTACTCCATTAGGCAAAATTTAATAATTCCAAACTGAAAACATTTCTTGCTGACATAAGACACTTTGGGTTCCTCACAAATATATTTTCTATGAGTTCTTTCATTTGGGACAGAAGCATTCAATAATTCGAAACAAAAACAAAAAAAAACGAAAACGTTTCCCTCTGACGGGCATGATTCCTCATCTGAAAAACAACCATACTTTGGCTTCTGGTAGATACAAAAGATCAATACAAAAGATCAAGTGATAATGACCAGGTTTCGATCAGGCCACACCCGACTTACACGAGAATTCCTTTTATCTGGGTAAAATTAACCATTATGTGACATTGGTGAGGAACCAATAAAAGTATTGCATTATGTAGAGGCATGAACCTTGTTCGGAATCTATAAAGACACATTTTATTACCCCTGCATCATAGAAAAACTACTGGATTGTAGAAATACGAAACAAACTATGGAATTTTTCAAAAATGCTGATTCAACAAAACAATTATTGGATTGTTGAAGTGAATGACCAAATCGTCTCTTCGAAGGTTCCTTTTTCCATATCCCGCAGTAACTTTTCACGATGAACTTCCCAGCTTACTCTCTATCACACTTGATCAGATTCTCAAATTGTGGAAGACTGTTTTATATCAGCCTGTGTGAATTATTAGTTATCAATGAATGTTCCCAAGAAGTTATCGTGGAAAAAAAAAGATTTTATATCAATATCATTAAATGAAGGGACACTTGAAAAGAAGTAATGATATCGGTGGTCATTTCAATATATATTTGACTCATTTCATATAGTGTAAATTTTATCATCTAGATCAATTCAAGTGATCTAGACCTAGATCACTAGGAGATCATAGGTGAAGCCATTCATTGATTAGTTTGATGATTTTTTGGAGGAGAACCTCATCAAAACATCACATGTCATAATATCAAAATAAGTTTCAAAAACATGTCTTTTGTTTCAGTATCAGAGCGATCAAGACATTGGTGAATGGCTGCCAGCACGCAGATGAGGCTTTTTCAACATTCAGATGATCTTTCAGTTTCTGTCTCCCCAGCCCAGTAGACAATCACAATGAGTTTCCGTCATCGTCTTCAAACTTACTTTTTCCGGCAGATAAACCTGTTATTGTTGCTGAAAATTATTTAGTCCTAATAAAGCATATTTGTGGCCTAACAATGAGTTGTTTTTTTCTATTCCTGAAACTACCAATCGCATATGATTAGGGAATACTTGAAATATTATATGGCATGTGATCACAACCGATCCTACTTGTGATGCAATGTTTGGAACCTTTGGTGTAGTAATGAATATTCCTGGAGTTTTTTCCAATACCATACCGTTATTTCAACACTTCGATACGTGTTTTGATCACCAAGTGATCATCTTCAAGAGGAAGATCAAACTGAGTTTGATAGGAAAAAATCCCAGTAATATTCATAACCAACCCTACATTAGGAAATTCCTTTTGCATATCTAACAAATTTCAATAATTTGCTTTTCACATTTAATTTTTATATACACAGTGTTTCTTGATAACTTACCAGTATCTAGAGAATTTATTTTAGAATACATTTTGAGGAAACACTTCAGATGAGCATATGTTCTGAAGGTTCCAAATTTCATATTGAAGTTTCGAAAACCTTTGTTCAAGGATAGCTTTGGAATTGTCTTGGATATTTCTGTGAAACACCATCTTCTGAGCAGGAAAAGGTATTGTGTTCTTGTCGGTGGCACTGAATGAATAATGTTTTTTCGAAAAACTTAAATCTAATAACTTGCATTGCATAACTTCATCATGATCTCCTACGTGGTAGGAGATCATAATGAAAAAAAAATAGAATTGAAACTGTCTATGTTTTTCACCACTTGTATTATTTGTAACTAACGTTAGTGCAGTTTCATCCTATGAGGACATTCTCAAACTTATACATTATCACATTATCAAACCAACATAATGGTTGATTACATTAGCCCTTATATAGCACCCCTGTAGGTAATAATAGAGGTACTTGGCTTGATTGAGTACCTGCACTTTGTTTACTAGTTACAATGCGGATATGATAATTTGAAAACCGGTGAGTGAACTAAATCGGTTTGAGCATGAACATTGTGGGTGCAACCTTTCAAATGATCAAATCGATTTAGTTTACTCAACGGTTTTCAAATTATCATATCCGCATTGTAACTAGTAAACAAAATTCAGGTACTGAATCAAGCTAAGTACCTCAATTATCATCTTCAGGGGTGCTATATAAGGGCTAATGTAATCAATCATTGTTAGTTTAATGTATAAGTTTAAAAATGTCCTCATAGGACGAAACTGCAGTAACGTTAGTTACAAATAAAAGTGGTAAAGAGCGTAAAAAGTTTCAATTCTCTTTTCTTCATTATCGACTTCCACATTATTGACGCATTAGAAAATAGGTGATTGTACCGAAATCACTATCTAAATAGAACTAATTGAAATGTATGACCGATTTCGAACATTATTGAGAAAAGAGTACAAGGTACTGTGAGAACACTAGTTCAACGGATTTAGGCTTCCTCGCCACTTTCCAAAACGGATGACTTTTAGCTAAATGTCTCTCCTAATTGGTAAAATAAAATCCATTTATATTTCACACTGAAATTTAATTTACCAAAGATGTCAGTTTTACCAGAATCGGAATCATTTCGAAAAATTGTTCACAGCACACCAATTTACACTAAAGTGTAATTGAACGTATGATGGTTGTGTGTGAATCTATTAGAAATATTTTCGGCATTTTTTCCAAGAGTACAATGATCTATGAGGATGATGACAGAGGCTACTTCTGATTCCATTCATTTTCTCAGCACCATGTAGTTCTAATCCAACTTATCTTTCTCAACATCATTCCATAAATACCCAACCCAATATATTGAAGGTCTTTGAGCAAATATTAGAAATCAATCAATTTTATTTCTGAAAGTGAATTGTATATTACTACCCTTCACACACAGTTTTTGACGCTAACAGAGCACGACTGCCTTCTTTAGATATAGTCTATAACAGTGGTCGCCAATCTCTTCAATGTGTTGAGCTACTTTGTTAATTTTGGAATAAACAGCGAACTACCCACACGTAACGCAACGTAAATGAAATAATCCACAGTAAATTTGTAGATGTTTGTAGATGGTGTTGAAAGAGGGCAGAGGAGGTTTGTTTTGTTCTTATCGAGTTTTTGTGCTCCTGGGTTCTGGCAGATATACGTCTGTTGGTCTGACCGATATATTGTTGTCCACAGTTCTCGCATGTGATGCATTCAAAAGGCCATAGACAGACAAAGAACAACCAACAAAACATCCACTAGATCGACAGAAGACTCTCCACACGACAGACAATCTGTGACACTACCTTATATCAAAGGTGTGACCGACAAAATCGGGAGAATACTAAGACGTAAAAACATTCGGACAACCTACAAACCGCACAAAACGATATCCAGTTGGCTGCCCAGACCGAAAGAGAGAATTTCCCTAGAAAACCAAGGAGTATATAGCATCACATGCGAGGACTGTGGACAACAATATATCGGTCAGACCAACAGACGTATATCTGCCAGAACCCAGGAGCACAAAAACTCGATAAGAACAAAACAAACCTCCTCTGCCCTCTTTCAACACCATCTACAAACAGGTCACAAGATTAATTTTGAGTCCACAAAACAGATAGCACAGGNCGCTGTTTATGTTTAATATTATGACAATTAGATTTTTTTGTGGAATTTTCGGAAGCTTCTCTGATTTTTGCAGTTTGTATTTTTTAAATTAAAATCGTTGTGAGAGCTACCAGAATTGCCCCCGCGAGCTACCGGTAGCTCGCGATCGACAGGTTAGCGACCACTGGTCTATAACAATAACCAGAACTCCTGCTTGATTTTATCAGGCTTCAGTACAGTTTTCGCAGCCATCAGTAATTGTTTATTGATAAAGTCTGATATTTTTAGAGATGATGGAATCATAATAATTTTTTTTGGTAGCAATCATCACATTGGGCAAATAGTATTGAAGTATTTCCAACTTTTGAAACATGAGAAGGGATGTTTCTCAAGGTAGTGTTCTGGGAGCCCCCCCTTCATTCTGTAAATACTGTAACATTCATCATTATGGCGATGAAATGCAAGTACATATACCGACATATCATTTTATTTGCCACAAATAATTTTGACGTGAACGATGCATCGTTCCCATTGTGGTAGATCACAAGTTAAAACTGAAACAGTCAAAACTAACCTAATGGTTTTTGAAAAAAATCGGATTAATTGCTGCTCCTAATCTCTAATCACACGAAACAATAAAACACTGAGGAGAGCAGTTCACGTTGAAATTTTACTACATATATACACAAAGACGCCTCACATGAAAACTCTAATCTGACTCATCAGTTCTCTTTCAAGTGGTATACTGTAACGTGGTATATTGGCGGGCTCTATTGTTTTTCCGGCCATGCTTGATTTCAAAAACCATTATTTAGACTTACGTGTTTTTGTCTTCTTAACACCTTGACCTTTACAGAATCCCCCGATTCAATTTAACTCTATTTGAACATTTTTGTCAATGATCACTCTCAATACTGAGAGATCTGTATACGAGAATCATGTACTTTGAGAGGCAAAGCGAAAAGTGTGACTCACTTCTACAAGATTCCTGCCGACAAAGATTCCTGGCGTAATTCAGCAAGTTGAAACAACAGATAAGTGGTCTGATTGAGAAATTTGTAGGAAAAATCCCAGAGTTTCAGTCTTTTCGAAGGAGCTGAGGTCTACATCAGGTTTATTAATGCATGCCGAAAGCAAATGCATAATGATCTCAGGTGCCTCGCGGTGTGCTTAATGATGTCATGAACCCCAAAACCAATCACGCGACTAAGACACACTAAATTATTTGAGGCGTATCATAGCAACCTGGGAAAAAGTCAGTAACATTGAAGAGCATGAGCCTTCAATGTTGTTCACGAAAATCCCCTGTCTCGGTAAATGTAAGAGTGAAATGATCTCTGCAATTTTAATGGAAAACCTGAATAGCTTCCAATTCGGTGACAGAGTTATGGTCACCTCCTTCAGTGTCAAAAACTGAACTAAGTTCATCAAACGCTCGGTCAGCTATCTTGAAGAGAATTGCTTTATTTGCTGTTCTCTCATGGTCACGGACGATGCAGAGGAGAAGAACCAGGCTCCTAATGAAGTTACAGGCTTCATCCAGTACAAGTCTGTTATGGAGTCAGCTCCTTCCTGGTCCACTTCATAACTTCTGAGTAGTAGATTGGAATAGTAGGCATATTTATTGCAGCAGTTGTAGGTTATCCTTTTGTGATTTACGTTGTTCCACCCCGAAGTCAACATACGTTTCTCCGGTATTCCGATGATACAGGATGTTCCCCTCTACAAGCTGTACACCCTTTCCGTAATCCCTGCATCATTTTTTTGTTGGGGGTAGACCGGTCCACATTCTCCATCTCGAATTCCATGCGTGTACTCTTCCACTACCCTTGAAGACTGTGGGCAGAGTGGAATGTAGGAAAGAAGGAGGCTGAGACAGAAAGTTTATGAGTGAATTCCACTGTGTCGTTGTAAAATAAACACATTCCTGTAATTATACACTTCCACTTACACTCTAGCACCGTCAAAGTCGACAAACTTCGGAGATTGTCCCGTTAATCTGTAACTTAATAAAGGACCTTCAGCCCAACGATATTACAGATCGAACTTCGGAAAGAATTTGAATCTCCCCCGGTGGAATCTTGAGCGGAAAATCGTTTTCGGATGTAATTGCGTTTACAACTATCGTGTCGTTTGGAAAGAAAACAGCAGAATGAAGTTCTTTATTGTCCTGTCGCGTTTTTCCAGATCGCGACAAAGGAAAAAGCGTTTGTAATGGTATTTACCCAACTTGGAATTCAAGGCGAAAAATCGGGATGCGTTTTCCGTCTTTTTCTTATTCCATTTGAGAGGTTTCATAAGTTTTTTACTATACTGATGAATATAAGGAAGATTTCAAAGTATTTGTTGATGTTGTTAATGTTTCTGGAAGTGAAGTCAATACTTGGAGTTTCTTAAAAATGAAAACCTATTATTTCAGAAGCTCACTTTCGGCAACTAAAACTCATAAAAATAATTTCACAAAACATTTTTCAGTACAATCCTCTATTCATCCGG